ATCGAACCTGGGACCCTTCAGTCCGCAGGCTGACGCTCCATCCACTGAGCCAAACCGGTTATGGCTGAATTTCTTCTTATATATTGTTTCTAAAATATATGTTGATTCTTTTAAAAATATATATATTTTTATTGATTTCAGAGAGGGAGAGAGAGATAGAAACATCGATGAGAGAGAAATATCAATTAGCTGCCTCCTGCACACCCCCTACTGGGAATGTGCCCGCAACCAAGGTACATGCCCTTGACCAGAATCGAACCTGGGACCCTTCATTCAGTCCACAGTCCAACGCTCTATCCACTGAGCCAAACCTGGTTAGGGCCCCCTAAATATTCTCAAAATGTGTATGATGCTTACACATTTTGCAATCTATATGTGTACTCTTTTTTTCACTTTACTCTGATATTTTTCATTTGGATAGTTGCTTAGTATTTCATTCCATTAATATCATTATTTGGCACTGGTATTCTCCGTTTTTTGTTGTTATAAATATCCCTCACTTTCTGTGCAGAGCCAAAGGTAGGATATTGTCAAGGAACTTTTGGTGATTCTCCTGTAATCTCATTACTGGGAATAGGAGTAAGTATATTCACCAAGGTCTTAAAGACTAGCCCCAGTTGCTGCATTTTCTCTCATTGTTCTTGGGTACTAACTAAAATGCTAGTTCCCCTCTCTGTATTCAGGAGGTGGGTTGTGTGTGTTTTTAATCTTTTAACCTTGAACTTTTGCTTCTGCAGTGCTTCCTCTTTCTCATTCAGAAAACCTATTTCCTGCTGCGTCTGCAAATAGGAGACCAGAGACAGGAGCTTCTGGCCTTACCCATGGAAACTCAGGCTGATCATGCATCTCAGGAACCTCAGTCCCTGCTTGAGAGTGGTATGGAATAGGGGATTCATTTATTCTTTTATTCAGTCATTCAACAGTCATCTATTGAAATTTCAGGTACTAGGATAACTGCTAGAATCCTGATATGATTAAGGTCTGTGGGTTCCTTGTGCAAGATTAAGAAAACTGTGACAGTCACCAAATTCCATTTTCTAGGGGCTTTGTAGCAGCCAACAGTGTTTTGGGATTTGTAGATCCTGGGAGATGGAGTGTTATGTCTTCAGTCAGGGATGGGGTGAAACTCCTAGTTTTCCTCTGGTCTAAGAGAACTTCATGCGATAGTTTGAATTCAGTGATGTGGTGAATGATGGAAGGGATATGAGCAGGACAGCCTGTGTTTCTGGCCAAGTTTGGGAGAATGGACAAGAACACATTCATCACTAATTATAGGACTGGGCAACTTTCATTGAGAGTAAAGTGACTGGAGAGGAGGAAGGGACTGAGGGCAGAGTAGAGAGCAAGAATCAATAAGGCTTTAGACATCTCTCTTTAGGATGTGCCCACACTAATTGTGCCTGTTATAAGCACCCTTAGTCGTTGCAGAGGAAGTGATCTTAAAAATGTCAGAGGAGCCCTGACCGGTTTGGCTCAGTGGATAGAGCGTTGGCCTGCGGACTAAAGGGTCCCGGGTTCGATTCTGGTCAAGGGCATGTACCTTGGTTGTGGGCACATCCCCAGTGGGGGGTGTGCAGGAGGCAGCTGATCGCTGTTTCTCTCTCATCGATGTTTCTAACTCTCTATCCCTCTCCCTTCTTCTCTGTTAAAAAACCAATAAAATATATTTAAAAAAAAACAATGTCAGAGGAGTGGGTCCTAGGTTGTCCCAGGACGCTATGAGTTTTCTGTAAGTTGGGAGGCCAGACAGCAGCAGATAGACTCACTCATAGGCTTTTTATTGTCCTCAGGTCTTCCTTCCTCAAAAGTTCCCACGTTTTCCAACAAGGACAGTCTGGGGGATAAGATGCTGGCAGCTGCACTCCTAAAGGCCAAGTCCCAGGTAAGCTGTGGTCCCCTTACCCTCTTTTTCGTTCCCATTTTATGGACATTTTTGGTACAGCAACATCCCATGCAATGCCCCAACCACAATTCACTCCA